CACAAATTTAGAGTTGGAAGGGACCTCCCGGGTCATCCGTCTAGATACCTGTGGACCGACTAAGTCACAATCTCTCCAGTAAAATGAAGGGATGGTGGACTACATGACTTGAGATACCTCCCAGCTTTACAGCTATGATCATTGTGTTCAACTCCCCTATTTTAAATAAGGAAATTGAGGCCCAAGAAAGTTAAGCACAATCAAGATTCAATTCTGTCTTCTTATTTAAGATCTAGTGCTTTTAAACATTGGAATGTAAACCCTTTGAGGGTAAGGGTTGTGTTAAGCTTCTCTCTCTCTCTCTCTCTCTCTCTCTCTCTCTCTCTCTCTCTCTCCTCTCTCCCCGCCTCCCACATCCCCCTCCCTCAGACTAACCTCCCCAGGCTAGATATACAGTGGCCACTCATGGACCTGATCCCACTACTGATCAGTTTTGTTGTCATTCAGTCGTGTTCAACTCTTTGTGACTCTATTTGGGGTTTTCTTTGCAAAGATGCTGGAGTGGTTTGCCATTTCCTTCTCCAGTTCACTTTACAGATGAAGAAACTGAGGCAAGTATGGTTAAGTGACTTGCCTAGGGTCACACAACTAGTAAGTAAGGCCAGATTTGAACTCAGGAAGATGAGTCTTCCTGACTTCAGATTCAGTGCTTTATCCATTGTACCACCTAGCTGCCCCACTACTAATCAATACGGTAGTTGTATCCTCCTCTGACAGGGGCCAGTTTGCTCCTCTTTGGGCAGCCTGGTGGCCCTCCACTCCTGAGGGCTCACCATATTGGTGCCAGACATAGTGTAGACACCCAATCAACTTTAGCCTCACCACAACTCAGAACCCCTGAACCCAAGCGATCCACCAGCCTCAGCTTCTCCCAATAGCAGGGCTTTCTGGCATGTATCACCATATTTGACCCTTCTGAGTATAATCCTGCACATAAAAGGTGCTTAATAAATGTTGCTGGACTAAGTCCTGGGATTCCAGGAGTTCTCTCAGAGCTGCAACCATGCCAGGTATGGATTTCTTGCTCATTAAACAAGTACACTTTTATAAGCACACCCTCCCACTTATTCTCTCCTCACTTTTCTCTAAGTCCCAACGCTCAGGCAATGGTAGTCAAGTTAGAATAAACAAATGGGCAACTGAATGAGGAACAGTGGTGCTAAGAGTGAAGGGTGATCTCTATTCAGCAATCCAGCTGGTGACAGTTCCGTTTGGACTGCCCCTGAAAGATTAGGCTGAGCCAGCTGTGATTAATTCTGTCATCCATGTTCAGGCTGGTCATTTTGATTCATTTGGCAAAAACACAGTCCAGAGAAATAAGGTCCATGCCTGTGTGTCCCTGAGAATGCTTGGGAGCAAATATACACGTACCTAGCTTCATATGCATGTACACCAGATGACCTGAACAGTGTTTCATATATTTATTCATAAGCCAAGTTATCAATAAAAAATTAATACTAAAATGCCTTTACATAGAGTTTGCTGTTCATAAAACCTTTGTTTTGTTTTTGTATTTTTAGTGTTTACATTGAAAAAAATTCCAACCATCATCATACTTTACACATTTACAATAATACCGGCTTTCACAACATTTAACCACGGTTAGAAAGGGAAAGGAATTCACGTTATTTATACAAAAGAAAGAAAGTAAGAAAGAAAGACAACAGAAAACCCAACACGAGGAGGAAAAGAAATTTCAACAGGAGGGACAAAAAAAGGGGTCCTTTTTTCCCTTTCACTCTCTCAGTTCTTCTGCACTTGGGGTTTAAAATAGCTTTAGATTCTAATTTCAGCCAACAACGTTGTCCTCACTTTCTCTCGTCACTTAATCACTTTTTCTTCACTCAATATCCTTGTATATTTTCAGGCCGAAAGTGGAACTTTCAATGGGGATGTGGGGTGAAGAGGCAAGCTAGTCTCTGATAGAATTGCATCAGTTTTCTCAGCTCAAAAAGAAGGACCCCCCCAGCTCCTGGGCTTGGAGGAGGTTGCCGCCTTTGACTTTAGTGACCAAAGGAGAAAACCACAGATAGTAAATATTGCACTCATGCCAAGAGACAGAAGAAGACTGAGGCATTGGGGGATACCCCCAAATAAATAAAAAGCCCTTCCTCCCCCAAACTTTCTGCTGTTGTCCTTTGATCCAGGGTCACATTGCCTGGAAACTGGAAGCCATAAGGCGTAGACATGGGTCAGGCTGCCTCTTGGGACACCAGAGATTCCTTGAAACCCATTGATTTATTCCTCATTCTTTTAAGGAAAGGAAGGCTAAGAGGTGAGGGATGGGAGTATAGGTGGGGTGGAGAGAGGGAGATCAGCAGTGGTTAGGCAGGAATCAGTAAGATGGAAGACCTGAGCCCTGAAGCAGAAATCTCATTAATGTCACCTTTAGGAGTAAGTTCTAAAGGATTTAACTGTGACACCTACTAGTTTCAGATATTTTGGTACCTACTCTTACTAGAGGATTTCTTCAAGAGGGCTCATCCTAAGAATAGGAAAACTGCTTAGTGATAGAACCCAATGGTTCAAATAAGGGTGAGGGCAGGAAAGGATGCTCTATAAGGTGGTGGACCAAACTGGGGCCCTCTCACTTGGCCCCTTTACTTCTCCCTTCTGGCCCAACCATTCAATAATTGCCACCTTAGGAGGCATAGAAGCCCAGGGAGTTTGTACTTTTGGTCTGAGACCAGTAGAGTACATGTAATATGCTCTAAAAGAAGTCACATTTTCAACTCAGGCCCAACTCAATTGGTCAACTAGAAAATAAAGAGGAAAAGGGCCCAAATATTTTTGGATTAGATGATCCCCAAGATCTCTTCCAGTTCTGACAGTCTATGACTATGATTTTTCCTAAAAGAATATTGCTGTTCAGTTCTCAGACAGTTCTGGACAGCCTCAATCTTTGGAGTCATTGTGCTACCCTTTACATGAATATAAATTCTTACCTTGTCCTATTAATACCAGGGCATGGCACTCTGGGGCCCAAGGAATGAACTGATTTTTAAGTCAAGGAGAAAAAGTCAAGAAAGGGCATTAGGTGCCATGTTGAGTGAATCTTAGAGAGGGAACTGAAACATCACACAACAAGGCCACAAAAATTTGAACTGTGTACTAAACAATGGTCCAATCTGGAAGGCTTGCATTCCTTTCTGGCAAATGCTCTCACTAGTCTCGGCCTGTCTACATGATGAAGGCTCTGGGAGACCAGGTGCCCACATGATGCCAATCATCTCCTGGCCAGAGGTCACTTAGCCCACAGCATCTACGTCCATCTCCATCTCCACCCAACCAACCAACAAAAGGGAAACAAAAAAAAACCACCACAGGGATAAAACAAAAACAAAAACAGGTAATCAAAGAAGGCAATCAATACCCAAAGCCCATGCACCAAGGGGAGAAGGCTGGGAGGGGAAGGATGGGACTTGATTTCCTCCTGAAAAGAATGTGCTCCAGAGAGCTGTGTTTGATTGTCCTCCACATGGGCCCCATCTAGGTCAGAGGCGGACAGTATTCATCACACCCGCCCAGGGGTGTCACAGAGAGGGCTTCCTGGTCATGGAAAGGCCAGGAGGTCAGAGAGGGCATTGGGGTTAGGGGGAAAGAAAGTGGCAAGGTGATGGGGAGGGCATTTTCTCTGCTTTGGTTTGCTCTTTTATTGTCTTTATTGTCTGATGTTTTAATGGAAAGTCATTCGATTTGACTTTAGATGTGAGGTGGGGAGAGAGAAAGAAGCAGCCATGTGGCCCTGTGGCCATGATGCCCACCAAGAAAGCCACGAAGGTCATATGGCATGATTCTGGGGCAACGGTCGGGATGGGTACGTGAGGGATTAGGTTAGAGAGGAGTTTCCTTCTTTCCTTCTTCCTCTTATTCTGCACATTGGAAAAAACAAATCTGTCTCAGCTTCCTATGCTGCAGCAACTCAAAGAAGGGGCTGAGGATGAAAGGAAGGAACCTGAAAAGGGGGAATCTGCCTTACTCCTCTTAAATTGAGGAAGGGCTATCACAAGAGAGCTAGAAAGAAGGAAAAGGTAGATCTATCTCTGCCTGAGTTTCCAAGAACTGAGGTATAATTTTCATACATCATCACTGTTTGTTTGCAGGGTTTTTGACTTGAAAAATAAAATTGAGGCGCTAGGTTGAGGAGGGGATTGCAGTCCTGCCTAAGCCAGTGTAGGGGTCGTTTTTGGTGTTCCTTGTATGGATATTGACAAGTGAACAGGAAGGGACACCAAAGATGGTGGGGGAGGGGGAGGCCTGAGCCTCTATTTGTCCTGGAAGGACAGCAGGTACCTAGTCTCTCCTGGGCTATGGCTGTGAAGTGGGGTCAAGGGGACATGGAGTCAACCATGGAAAACTGAACTAGGAAAGAACTTGCAATATACAGAATGAATAAAATGAAAAGATGACCTTTTCTTACTTTCTCTCACTTTTTGACCTCATTTTACTTTTCCCATTTTGCAGATTTTTTTTAAAAACAGAGGTAAGATAAATATGGCTGTTGTCCCCCATCCCCAGCTCCTGCCCCTAAGGGATGAGGGACACAGTTGATACTGATTTTTAGAATAATTTATAATCTTTTCTTACGGGGGCATTTCCTCATGCCATCCTCCCCAACCCTCCTAAATTGTGTGTGTGTGTGTGTGTGTGTGTGTGTGTGTGTGTGTGTGTATTTAAAGGATGTATAAAAGGAAAGAGACCTTGGTGTGATTTCTATCTTTAAACAGTTCCATAAGGAGGTTAGTGAATTAAAGTGGGATATCTCTCATTAAGAACACTTCACTAGAGTGTCCACAGTTGCTCTCCTGGCCCTTAACACCCCCTACCCGCCCACCCAAATGCTGCCTCTATATTTACAGATTAGCCCAGTCCTGGAGCTCAGCCAGGCTGAGAAAAAACAGTGCATTTTCAAAGAAAATTCCCAAACCCAAATCCCTCCCAACACACACACGTGCACACGCACACACACACACATACATACACGCACGCTCACAAAAACCTTCTTTTTTTCTAGTTTTTTTTTCCATAAAACTTCCCCGAAGAAATACAATATTTACATAGAGAAATAAATAGACAATACACCTGATTTCTGCTTTCCCTGGTGGGAGACAGTCAGAGGTACTAGGGAAAATATGGCTTGAATTCTAATCTCTTGTGAATTGCCAATGCTGGGGAGAAAAACAGAGGTGGAAATCCACGGGTATGTGTGTGTAATCAACTGAGGGGAATGTGGCCCTCAGTCCAGGTCCCAGGAAGGAGACCTTGGGGCCTACCTAGCAGGATCAGAGTCAGATGGGGAATTGGATTCTGAAGCCAGAGAGCTTTCTCTTTCCAGGGAAAATAATTAATATTAATAATAATAACAATAATAATAATTTAAAAAGCCTGAATCTTGCTGTGATGGGTTTTGCATATTTACTCAGACTCTCCATTCTGGAGCGCCATGTGGGGCCTGCCTTAAAGCTGTGTTGTTAGGCAGGGAGGGTCCTGACGAGGGGCTTGGATGGAAGACCCCAACATTGCCAGTTGTCACAACCTGGCTCCTCTTCTGTGATCCACACTCCTCCTCATCCCTGGGGAGGAAACTGCTCCGGGAAGCAGAGGCCATCTGAGTGGGTGGGGGTAGGTCCGGGGAGGCTCAGGGTGGAGGAGGATGAAACAAAGTTTTCAAGTTTCCGATGATTAGGGAGGTCACTGCCCTGGGGTGGGGTTTGGGGAGAGCTGTTCAGTGCACCCCCTCATGCAAAGCAGTGGCAAGTTCCAGTGGTACTGCCCAGATCAGCACAAGATGGGCACACCGTCTGCTGTCACTAGGCGTCCTGTGGTGGGGTCATAGGTCCCTGCCAGGTAGTAGAGGTCCTGGCGGTCCTGATATTTCTTACTCCGAGTCATCTGCTCGTATTGTTCTCTCCCCACAACCTGGCACTTATGTGAGATGGTCTGGACGTCATTTTCATCCTCATGGCATGACTGGTACAGGGCATTCTGTGAGAGGGAGGGGACAGAAAGAGCAGGTTGGATCAATGGCTAAGCCACCGGCTGCTATTCCCTGGGGGTTTCCCCAAGTGCCAACATTCACTCAACCTTCTTGGGCAACCGTCTTCCCTCAGGGAGGGGAAGGGACTTTGTTCCCCTGTAAAATAAGGGGTTGCATTAGATGACTTCTAAGATTCTTTGCTACTTATCCCACACCAGAAAAAGGATGCAACAAAGGCCACTGTTCCCATTGTTTGTGGTACCTCTCCTTGACCGGCACCCACCCAGCATCACTGATCCTGCAGGAGAGATCAACTTCCAGTGTGAACTGGATTATTGTGAACCAATGGTGAGCCTCGAGGCATGTGGGTCATTATAATGCAAATGGATTCTGGTCCCTAGAAGACCTCCCCAAAGGAGGACAGAACTGTGTAGGAGTGTGGAGAAGGCCCTAGCAGACAACATATGTCAGCCTGAGGGAAGAACACCCAGATTCTCATGCTTCAGAGCATTAAATCAGCACCCAGCTTGCTCCAGTGGCCTAGGAGATGGTGATACCTTAGCCATCTTCTCCCAGTGAGCTCCCAAACCCTCCCACCAGGCTCACCTTCCCGTCACTTTGTCGTTTTCCCAACTTGGTCTCCTCTGGGTGATAGAACCATTTCACCTTCACCACCATGTTGCTGCCCCAGGACTCCCACATGCTCTCAATGCGTCCGATATAGGGTAGGTTGGGCCGGCCTGCCGACAAGAAGACAGCGCAATCCCCGATGCAGAGTGTCTCCTTTCCCCGAACGATTGCCTTGTAGAAAAGCTTCCTGGCCTTCCCTTTCATTCCCCGCCTCTGCATAGAGACCAAAGAAAGGCTTTGAGGGACAAGAATACTCTGGAGGTAAGGAAGGTGCTAGGAGTGATAGGCCGAATTGGGAAGGTGTGAGATGAGTGTGTGTGGGCAGTGCTATGATGGAAATGCTGTAAAAAATGTAATAGGAATGTAGCTAGTGAGGAAGCAAGGACGAAGATACACACAGTTTGGGAAAGCTAGGACATCTGAACAGAATGGGGGAGAGATGGATTAAGGGGGGAGAGAGGGAGAAGGAAAAGGTGGAGTGAGGGGAAGAGACAGAGACAGAGACAGAGAAAAAGAGACAGAGAAGGGAGGCAGAGAGAGAGAGAGAGAAAGACAGAGACACAGACAGAGAGAGAAAGAGAGACAGAAGGGAGGCAGAGAGGAAGAGAGACAGACAGACAGAGACAGAGAGAAAGACAGAAACAGAGAGAAAAAGAGAGAGAGAAGGGAGGCAGAGAGAGAGAGACAGAGAGAGACAGAGACAGAGAGAAAAAGAGAGACAGAGAAGGGAGGCAGAGAGAGAGAAAGAGAGAGACAGAGACAGAGACAGAGAGACAGAGAGAAAAAAAGAGAAGGGAGGCAGAGAGAGAGACAGAGACAGAGAGAAAAAGAGAGAGAAGGGAGGCAGAGAGAGACAGAGAGAGACAGAGACAGAGACAGAGAGGGTGGGGCGGGGGGGGCAGAGGAGACAGACACACAGAGACAGAGACAGAAATGGAGAACATTATTACTTGTATATCTCTGAAGCTTTCCACTATTCTCCTCTTGGAATTTCATGTAAGAAATCCCATACCAACTTTCCCTCCTAAGGATGCTTCGAGGGAGAGGACTCAGGGATTCTCTGCCTTCCAGGTCCCAGTCTCTCCCACCCCTTACCTGAGTGGGATTCCCAGACCACTTCCACAGTTGCCGGGCTGGCAGGAAGGCTGAGATCTTTGGCCGATTTTCCACAGAGGGCAGCCGCTGCCTTCGGGAAAACTCTTTGGCTTTGGAGAAGCTCAGGGCCTCCTTCCGCTTCATCTTGGTCTTGCCACTGGCCGCAGTGGCTTTGGCGAGGAAGCAGCGCTGGGGGTGAGGATGGGGGCTGCCCCCCTTCGAGCGCAGGGCCTCAGGCTGCGCCAGAAGGGCGGGCACAGGATGGGTGAGACAGGTCTGGAGCAGCAAAGTGGAGTCCTCATCATCCGAGCTATAGGATGAGTCCTCGTTGTCTGAGGAGCAGAGGCTGGATGTGGAGATGGAGCCTGAGGATGAAGATGTGGAGGAACCCGATGAGGAGGAAGAAACCGAGAGGCGGGTGAGAAACCGAGAGGGGACATTGCCTGCCAGTCCATCCTCGTCCTCATCGGAGTAGGAGCTGTGGCAGTCGCTGTCACAGTGCAGTGAACAGTCAGCTTGGCCTGCATATTTACGCAATGCCAGCCCCATGGGCAATGGGTGGACGGGCGCCCGCCCTTTTTTTTCCTTGCCGACTAGAGCTGGGTGGACATAGCCTGGAGTGGGCAAGGGCCTCCCTAGCTTGGGTCCGTCGTCTTTGTCGCCCATGAGCAGGGCCTTACAGTTCTTATTCTTGGGTGAGGTCACCCCTTCATGATCCAGCTTGACCAGGAACTCCCCACCAACTTTCCGACGCCCACTCTTCTCAGCCTCCAGCCGCTCTGCCTTCTTTGCCCGAAGCAGCTTGTGGGCACCCCCAGGCAGGGCCAGCCCTGCCCCGCTGGCAAATGGGGAATAAGAGTTGGCTATGCTGCTGAAGGAGTCTGCCCCAAAGCCATTGCCAAAGACTGGGGTGGCCATGCTATGCACTGGGAACAAGGCTTCTCGGGCTCTCAGCTTCTTGGCACTGCCATTGAGCTGGAAGAGGTTCTGGAGGACACCTGTGCTCCTGCTGCCTCCTCCGCCTCCTGCTGCCATTGCCGTCCCCTTCCTCTTAGTCTGTGCCACTGAAGACCAGCTCAGCATCGGGCTGCCCCGTCGGCCCAGGAAGTGATCGGCTACCACTGGTGTCTTGGCCCCTGGAGTTAAGACATCAGCTTTGCCTGTGGGATGATAACGAGGTAGCATCAGAGGTCATACTGCTCTTTCCTTGCTCCACTTCCCCCCTCCCCACTCCGCCTCCCAGAACATTGCTGACATTTACCTCCATACATCCCATCCCATCATCCCTCTAGTCTTTCACTACAGCTTGTCCAAATTGAGACAAGGCATTTTTGTGCCCTCAGCAAGATCTGAAAACAACACCCTCTGGGTCTGCTAAAGGATTTGATCCTTCATCCTTAAAGAGGACTTGACTTGCTACAAAAGAAATACTAATGTGTCGTGGAGAGGGCGATTTCTTAGCATAAAAATATGTGCATTTATTTTTAAAAAGTTGTCTGTAAGTACTCCAGTATCTTATACAACAGGACCCCTACTTGCAGGGTCCCAGCTGTATCAGTGACCCTTTATCTCTGTACCCTATGGAGCCACAGAAGTGCCTACTCCAGCTCAAAGCCACACCTCCTCCTCTTTTCACATAGTCTAATGCTTTATCTGTCTCTCCAGGAGATACAATTTGAGGCTACCTCTTCTAGCCCCTGGGAGGCTACCCCTCTTCCTGCACCTTCCTAAGCACCCCTTTTTAGTACCTGCTTTTTCTTTGCTGACAGCCTTCTTCCCCAAGTTCTTTGATGGTTCAGGGATATCCCGCCCCTCAGGAGACAGACTGGGTGCCGTTTCACTGGGTGGGGGCGCATCATTGGAAGATCTCTTGTTTCTGCGACAGCTGCTGGACACGAGCAGGGCTGGGGAAGGTTCTGTGCCTGCAATTCAGAAACAGCGATCTCTTCATCCCAACAGACCTTGTTCATCCCACCCTTGTCCATTCTTCACCCAGAACAATAGTTCTATGACTACATGGCGGGAGGCTGGGGAGGGCTGGAGGCAGGGCAGGAGGGACACTACTCATTCCTGCCCCCCTGAGGATGGCGTGGTAATCAAGGTTCCTTGCTACAGCATGAAGGAACTTAGTCCCCAGTTTCATGCTAGGGTTTCAGAAAGAACACACCCTTGAGCAGGAGAGCATTCCAAACAGAGATGGGAGTCAAGTAAACCAGTCCTAAGGGGTGTGGGGGGTCAAAGTGGACCTTAGGGTAGAAATGATCTCAGGTGAATGATGATTGTACTAAATGAACCTCCCTCTGCCCTATATGATGCAAGGGCACTTTCTAGTCCCCAAGTGGACTCACACTGGATCTTGAAGTCTGGAGGTAATAATCGAATATTGGATATGGAGATGTGGCCTGTGTCACCATCATCAAACTCAACTACCACTGAATCTAGGTCTTCTTCTTCATCACTGGAGGCACCTGTAGGTGGTAGAGGTCAGAAGGTTAAGCCCTGGGGGCAGAGGCAGGAGAGACTGTCCAGAAGTGATACCAAAGGGCAGGAGCCAGAACCCCACATTATCAAGACAGCTCTCACCCTGCCCTATCCTCAGTGGGAACACATAGAGTTACTATCTCTCTAAGCACCTGTAGATGTTAAATACTAGATAGAAAAGCAGAGGAGAAAGGGGCTAGGTAGAGAGTTGGGTGTATCTGGGGGCCCTAGAGGTGAGACAGAGTGAGGCAGGGGGCTGCCCTGTGCAATCAGACAGGAATTGATGAAGGGAAAGGGCTCCCAGAGGGGCCTCTGACAAATGACACTGAGAAAATTCAGCTCCCAGATCACATTTGACCTTGGAGTTCCCCACCCCCAGCCCTGGGTAACTGATGGCTTTCATCTCTTCTCACTCCTAACAGCCACTCTGTTCTCATTGCAATATTATTACCATTCATCATGCCCCTTCCCTTCCAATGTACACGCCAGATGCTGAGACCCAGCCAGAGCTCCACGCACACACAGAATTCAGGTCTTCCACCTAGCTATGCAAAGACCCAACACCCTGATATCCGCAAGGCTGAGATCAAGCAGAAACAATTGAGGACATGCATGCTTCCCTCTCCAGAGTGCTGCTTTCCATTTCCCTATGAAGTGAGGCTTTCTCAATCCATCCTTTCCTAATCCCTGCCCCCCTCCCCAGCCCCATTCCCACATCCTCAAGTCCAGCAGGGAATGGGTCACCCTAATGGAGAGCTAATTCACATTTAAATGTTTTCTCAATGGCAGCAGGATTAGGGCTCATTGGGTGATAATTACTCTTTTTGCTTAGCTCAGCAGCAGCAGCAGCAGCAGCAGGAGCCCCTCCCTTCTCCCTTCACCCCTTCGCAGTCCCTCCCTATGGATGCTACTCCTTACTCCACCTTTTTTATGGTGACATTCAGAGCAGATTCTATTATCTTGTTCCTATATAAGCAGGAATATGTCACTGCCAGCCAAGAAACTCCTTGGCTCCCTCTCTTCTTCTTGGGTCGAATACTGCTAGGGGGCGAGCCTAAGGGCCATAGGTGTAGGTATAAGGAGTGGGTAGGGGGCTATTAGGAGGTATAGGGACGATGGGGAAATGTTATCAGGTTCTTGCATGGGAGGCGAGGGGAGAGGATGTTCAAGGAACACTGGAAGAGCTGTGATACTGGGGAGATGGGGTTGAAGGGAGATATAACTTGGATAGGGGGGACTGGGAGATGACAAGAGGGTAGAGTTTCTAGACGTGGGATGGTGAGGAAAGGCACCTCTTGGGAGGCAGCACCTTATAGTAGAAGGGGCATTAGAACTTGAGCTCTACTCTTGACTGGCAACAGCTAATTATGACCTTGGGCAAGTCATCTGCTCTTTCTGAACCTCAGTTTCTTCATATGTAAAATGAGGGAATCAGACTAGATTACTCCTAAGGTTCCTCTCAGCTCTAAAATTCTGTGACTATATTCTCATGTTAACCTGCCTGTTATTTCTGTCCAGCACCAAAAGGAGAAGATCTTCTGTTGGCATTTAACTGTGGTTGCCCAGGGCATTAGTCACACCATTATTAACCACTCATGGTGGGAGGAGAAAGGAGGATAGAAGCAGGGGGCAAGAGGAAGCGGCGGGGGGGGGGGGGGGG